AAGTGAGAATTATTATGAATGATTACAACAATAGGAGTAGTAGGTACACAAAACAAAAGGCTCCATCCTTTTGCAAGATGTTTGTAAATAGTGAGCTCCTTGAATTCATAATGGTCCACTTTTTCTATGTCTGCTCCATTTAGGACTCTTGAAATTGCTTTCCTTCTCTGTTCTTCTTCCAGTGATGTCGGTTTTATCATCATAGTAATAAGTTCTTTTTTTGGGGGGGGAGTCTGGTCGTGGGGCCTGAACTCTGGACCTGGGCGCTATCCCTCAGCTCTTCAGCTCAAGGCTAGCACTCTACCACTTGAGCCACAGCGCCTTCTGGCTTATTTCTTTTTTGCTTATGTGGTGCTGAGGAATCGAACCCAGGGCCTCATGCATGCAAGGCAAGCGCTCTACCGCTGAGCCACCTTCCCAACCCCAGTTGTAAGTTCTTGACTGACATAGGTTGTAGTTCGGTGGACAGGAATAGGGCAGAGAGGGAAGGAGGTGGGGAAAACCACCCATTCCACAGAGGGCGTTTGTGCTGGTGGTGTGGATAAGCAAGGGTGGTTTGGATGAAGCAGTCAAGAGACGAAGAGATGGTACAGTGAGGGGAGAGGAGAATGTAGACTGTGAAGAAAGCCGTAGGTTTTACGGCTTATACTTCTGTTCTTCATCCTTTCAAAGTAAGTAAGCCTAATATACGTAGTTATCAATATACTGCTAAGCCCATAGAAGATTAAACTTTCGTAAGAAATTCACCCAAAAATACAATGGCTCATAGAATGTTGTCCTCCCTCTTCTCCCCCTCCCCCCATATCTTTATGTTGAAACTGAATGCCTCATATGACAGCATTGAGAAGTAGGCCCTTTAGGGAGGGTATCTGTCACCCATGGGGTTAAGACCCTATGAAAGAGGCCTCATCTCCTACCATTGACAACGCAGCTTCCATGAGGAAGCAAATCCTTAACAGACGGTGAATTTGCTGGTGCCTTCACCTAGGACTTCCCAGCCTCTAGACCTATAAGAAGTAAACTTCTGTTGTTTGTAAGTTGACCTAGTTTATTGTATTTTGTTATAGCGCCATGAAAGGACCAAGACAGGCTCAAACAACATAAAAGTGTTTTCTCTACGATTTAACAACGCCAAAGCAGTTGTGCAATCACAAAGAGAAGAGTGACTCTGTCCCAAGTCCCAGTTATGTTTCTTGTAGCTCACATTCTTGGTATGTGGTCCTACCCTCCCTGTCAACGTTGTTTAAAGCACTACTTCCCAGTTCACAGGCAGGGTCGAAGTGGAATGCAAACTACTTTCTGTGTGATGAGGGACTGAGCACATGTCTCCTGAGAATTGTTATCTATCTAAGGATGCCTGTGTTCTTCAAAAACAGTGGTTGGAATTGTAAAATAGAAGAGCAACAACAGGGAACCAACAGAGAAAAGATAATGCCGAGGTAGTCTCATACATTTTTGTTGACTAATCCCCTGAATGTTTTTTAACTGTTTTATGTTAAAATAAAATATGTGCAATTATGTGATGGAATTCTTCCCATTGCACTTACTTTATGTTGGCTTGCTGCAATTCACTGACAGTAAGTTTAATTTTTAGAGTACTGGGTTTATTTTACTTTAGTCTTATGAAAACGTAGTCTTAAGATAAAAAAAAAAAAAGCAGTGAACTACAGATATCATGGTTAATGCTTCCAGTTTTAACAAAGATTTCTTTAGTTTTACTTACCTTTGGTTAAAAAAAACTAGTTTTCTACTACTAGTTTCTTTTTTGTCATCTAAAATCGTTTTGAACATAGATTGGTTAAGCCACATTATAATTATCTTCCACGATGAACATTAAGTGTCTGTAGGGCAAGTCAACAAAGTAACTGTGCATCAGCCCTCATCTGAGATGAGGTTTCTCGAAAGCCTAAATGAATCCTAGGCCATCATCGGTGCCTGTCCTATCACAGGAAGCCTTACCTTCACCGTGTGGAAGTCTATTCAGTTACTTGTAACTACTGGCCCAATGATTTACAGTAGGCCAATCAGAGCCTATCTGAAATTGTGAGTCCCTTGAACCCAAAGAAATCTGAATTGATGCTAGAGTTATCTCTTCCAGAAAAAAATAATGCCTTGTCTGATATTTGCTTAATAATGTGCACAATAGCCCATGAAACATAAGTAAATAATGTATCAGCAAAAATATATACAGAATGTCAAAACAATATGAGGAGCAACTAACAGTGCCTGATTTGATAGGTCCTCAGTAAGTATTGGTTTTAAGTTAGTACCTTATTCCTTAGGTCACAGTACAAAAGGTTTTCTAATAGGCAACAAAGAAAACCATAACTTTCTGGAAGTCATTCTTCATTTTAATAGGGAGCAAATTTACTTTCATATAAAGAGTGAAATTTGGAATTTTAAGAAGTGCTGGCTCAAGAAATAGTCTTTATATAGACTTAGCATATAAAAAGATCCAATGATTACAGAGTATCTCCCCAAATTTTACTCTACTTGTGAAATGCCCCCAGTGAACTCAAAGCTGTTATGGAACCTTAGAGCCTAGTGGGGAATATTTTTAATTCAACTCTTTCACTGGCATTTGCCCAGTGGTGTAATATATTAGGATATTCTGGAACCCTCTAGAGGACACCAGAATGTTATAGAAGTAGCATATGGTATCTGTCTCTGATTGTTATAAAAAATTATGTCCCAATTACTTGCCAGTGCTATTCTACTTTTCCTTTTTTTCTTTGAAAAAGAATCAACTCTATTATTTTTTTCTAGACTACTTCTTCATAGTAAGTCTGTTGGTGTTAAATTTATATATTCCATCTATACTATATCAAAACATCTTTAGACTGCAATTAATTTTGGTAATTCCTTTAACCTGTATGACATGATTCTTTTGACATGTCCAAGGAAGTCTGATGGCTTTTCAATTGCTTAACTTTGAATAGGTTTGCTTGTTTTAAATCCTGTTATATTTTAAAAAAATGACTGGGTTGGGGTCTTTGTTGTACGTTTTGGCATCTGGAAATACTTCTGCATTATTAGAACACTCTGAGGGTAGGAAAGATTTATTATTTTTAATCACTGGCAACTAAGAAGTCTATCTTAAAAACTTTAGACTTTCATCAATCCTCATAAATCCCACATAAATCTACATCTAGATCTAAATCTACATCTAAATCTACATGCCTAGATCATGCAGTAGAAGTAGTAATCACAAAAACATCGACTTGGAGTTTTGAAACGTATACTATGAGTTACATTAGGGTTAATACTTCTTTAGGTGAATTTTCCACTAAAATAGACGTATGCTGGCATGACTTTGCCTAAACAGAGTGAGCGCGGTCAAGATTGTGTCCCCCCCCAAATCCTTGTCTCTCACGAGTCTGATTAACGGCTAATTTTTAAAAATTAATTTTAGTAACAAGGACATTGATGTCCATTATACTATTCTCTGTAGCCATTTGTATCTTGTAGTTTTTCCTCCAATAACATGACTCTGTTACCAATCTTTTGGCTTTCTAAGGATAAAGCTGGTTATGGGGAGAGCCTACGGTGCCCATTTTGTTGAGTTAACCTTGAAGGGTGGGTGACATAGGTAGAAAAGAAGTGGATGAGGATGAGTTTAAAATTAGTTCAACTAATGGGGGCAGACACAAACAAACGGGCTGGACTGGCTTAATCGGGTGTTTGCTATATAAAAAGGCATTTCAAGATAAAGGGTTGTCTAGAAAGGATATACATTCCTTCGGGTACCTCTGAAGCCTCTGTATAAAAACATGTGTCTCTAGATTCCAAGGCTCCTCTCCACGCTGCAATACATGCATGTAGCTATGTCTATGTCTGTACCTAGATCCATATTTATATCTACATCTATGTCAATCTAGATCTAGAATCTCAGCACCTGAAGTAAGACCCAAACTGTAAGAGTAAAGGGAACTTGAGTTTTTCTTGCTGTTCAGGTGCTTACACATAGCTTCACCAATACAAAGTGAGAACTGATTTTGGCCATGCCAAGTGGTATTCTGCGCCTGTTTCCCTCCCTCCCTCCTTCCCTCCCTCCCTCCCTCCCTCCCTCCCTCCCTCCCTCCCTCCCTTCCTTCCTTCCTTCCTTCCTTCCTTCCTTCCTTCCTTCCCCAATCCCTATGTATCCTCTCAACTTGGCTCATTATACTTGTTAATTTTCCGTTTTCTAAATCCAGTTTAACAGAAGGCTGTAAGAGTGGCTCTTAGAGGCAGCAGCAGGCTGGCGAGGAGGAGGGAGAGGGTCCCCAAGGTGGTGGGGTTGGGGCTAGGCTGGCTGGGGTGGGCAGCTCTGAGGAGGGACCGGCCAGAGACTGCAGTGACTGCCCTCCCCGGGCTGGTTGAAGCACCTCACTGGTGACGGGTCTGAAAGCACGTGGCTACGTCATGGAAAGCCAGTCTTTTCAACGCAAACTTCCACTCCTCCTCCTCCTCCAGCTAATGCCTGTAACTCCCCATCCGAGGCTGGGCGAGGAATCCGGAGGGGAGATTTTTTTCCTCATGCTCACGCTGCTGCTGGTGGTGGCTGCAACCTGGAAGAGAGAGAGGAAGGAGGAAGGAGATCTGGAGCTCTGGCTACCTACTACGAGACTGACCAGGGCAGGGGGTTCCTGGTAGGATTTCATCTATTCTTCGTGCTGATCCAGAACTGCAGGTGCAAGCCGATGCCACTTAGCTCTGGCGATTGATTATTATTATTACCATTATCATTATCCTTATTCTTTTAAATCTCGACACCAGGAGAAAGAAGGGAGTCTCTTGTCTCCGGCAGTGAGACTCAATCTCCAAGGTGGTATTGGTGTGTGAGTGTGTTCGGTGCTGCCTTTGCTTTGCTTTCCCCTTTTTTTTCCTCTTTTTTTCTTTCCTTTCCTCCTCCCCCCCCCCCCAGCCCCCTTTCTCTTCTTCCCTTTTATTTTCCTTCTCTCCTAGGGGCTACACAATGGCAGTCTCCTCTCAGTGAGATGAATCCTGCTTTGCTTTCTGCAGATCCACCCATCCTCGCCTCGACCGAATGAAAGGCTATGGTTTTCTCTTGGAGGATTTTTTGGGCATTCCTCTTCTCCCCGATTAGTTGTGATCTCAGTTGGGATTTCTTTGGCTTCATGCTGAGAAAAGGATTTTTTTTCAACCTTTTGCTAAGAATCCGGTGGTGATCAAGGAAAAGGGGGGAAATAAATCATTCACCCTGGCCGAGAAAACACAAGCACTGAGAAGTCTCCAAGAAATAGACCACGTGAGGGGGAAAAACTGGGAGAAGACCCGGAATACCATCGTTTTTCCTATGGTAAAACCGGTGCCCCTCTTCAGGAAAACTGATTTCCAATTATTATTATGCAACCACAGGGATCTCTTCTTTCTCAGGGTGTCTAAGCTGCTGGATTGCTTTTCGCCCAAATCAATGTGGTTTCTTTGGAACATTTTCAGCAAAGGAACGCATATGCTGCAGTGTCTTTGTGGCAAGAGTCTTAAGAAAAACAAGAACCCAACTGGTAAGCAAAACACGCTCGTGTGCTCGGCTTTTTCCTCCATCCCTCCGGGTGCCGTGGCCGGGGCTCGCCCTGCGGTTCTGCTATGCAGGCGGGCGGGCAGCCGGGACAGCCGGGCAGGAGGGCGGGCAGGCGGGCAGGCGGGCAGGCGGGCGGCCGGGGGAGCGGAGCGGCCACCAGGACCGTGTTGCATATCGAGGTGTTGCATGAATAATCAAGTCACAGCTTGGGGAGCTGCGTCTACAACCCAACCCCCCTCCCCACCACCCCCAAACCTCCCCCCCCCCGCCCCCAGCAAGCAGCTCGTGGCGGTGACACCAGTCCAGCCTAAGTGGCAGGAGGAAACTTTTAATTTTTTGTGACCCCCTCGGAATGCCTTCGATGCAGGTGGTGGGTGGAATGACTGTGGAAAGGAGGACGGCTGGAAGGTTGCGCCTAGAGGAACTGGAAGGTTTCCTTTACTTGGAGGGGGTGGGGGGGAGGACATAGCTCGACTTTCTGGGGAGCTTGCACGGATTCGACACCCCGATCCTCCTCCTCCACCTCCTCCTCCGCCGCCGCCGCCGTCAGTTCGGCCCCCGCCTCCTCCCCCACCCCGCGCCCTGAACTCCTTCCCCTCCTCCTCCTCCCCCTCCCCACGCGTCCGCTGGGAAGCGCGCAGCGCCCCGGGCTCCTGCCTGGGAGGGAAACCCGATATTTAGAGCCTCGAACCCCACCCCACCCCATTCCCCTTTTCCAGAGCGCTCGCTGCCCTCCTCCCCCCCCCCCCCCCGCCCGGGGGCTGTGGTCTGGATGGGTTCCGCCTGCCTCCCGTCCTGCGCCCCGGTGCAATCGGGGTTCCAGGAGGGAAACTTGCGGTGCATTACATAAGGAATGCAAATGCAGGTGACCAGGGAGCCGAGTCCCCTGGGCTCACTTCCCCAAGCCTCCTGGAGGAGTTTGGGGGGGGGGGGCGGCCGTGGTGGGGGGGCGGTGAGGAGCGGGGGGGGGGGGTGGCAGGCCGGAGGGCTGCGTGGTGGAGGGGCCAGGGGCGCGCTGCGCTGTCCGCAGGTGTACGGAGTTCACAGCCGCGGGGCCGACCCGGGGCAGGGGTTGGGGACAGGAGGTCCTGCAGTGGCAGATGGACGGACGGACAGGTCGGGCGGGCACTGCGGTGCCGTAGATCACGGCCTTGCTCGGGCCGCCTGACACTCCCAACTCGGGGGTGGGGTGGGGTGGGGGGCTGCTGGCACCTGGACCCCCCCCCCCCAGGGCTGGCAGCAAGTGTCTGGGGCTTCCAGGACCCCAACCTTGTGGTGCGCCCCGAAGGGGGCTGCACGCAGGAGGAGTGGGGAGGAGGGGACGAGGCACGGGTGGGCGGGGATGGAGGCCGCAGGCGCGGAGGCCGCGGCCGTGGAGGCCACGCTGGACCGCGGAAGGAAAGTGAGCAGAGAGATGGTCCGGGGACAGACGCCGGTGTGGTTAGACGGTGTGGGGCTGGGGGCAGAGACCAGCGTGAATAGACGGCCCGAGTGGCAGATGCTGGAGTAGGTGGACGTCCAGGGGGCAGACGGGGGTCGTGGATGGGCGTCCAGGGGGCGGGTACTTGTGTAGACTGGCGTCGAGGGGACAGACATTCGCATGCTTGGGCTGATGAGGGCGAGGGCGTGGCCTCGGATGTCCACTGAGGTAGTAGGCTTCTGCTGCCATGTGGTGCTGCAGTGGACACTGCTCCTCTGTCCTGGAGCCCTGGCCCTGCGTTCTAGCTCCCCATCCGCCCGGTCCAGCCATCCTCCCCTGTCCCCTGGCCTTTTACCCGTCTCTAGCTCAACTCCTCAGTGTGAAACACAAGGAAGTGAGTCCTTAAGGACTCACCATTGCGTTTCTGGTTTGGTCCTGAGGGGCATCCGAAGCCCTCACCCCCCCCCCCTCCCCAGGCTATGCTTGCTGATGTCTGGTGTCTACAACCCCACCCCCCCCCCCATTTTGCAGGGTTCTCCCCACCCCGCCCTGCGTGGGACAGGCCCAGGGCTTCTGGGGGAGAGAGGGACTGGGACACACAGCAAACACAGTGCCAGGCGCTCTCTTGTCAAATGCCTGTGGAACAATGTAGTCCCCCTTTGAGAAAGAAATACTGGAACAGCAGTTTAAGAAATTATTTAAGTGTTCGATGTTTGTCCAAGGACCTTGAAGTGAAGTCAGCCCGTAGTACTGGAGAGAGGGGAATGTCACGAATGAACAATACGTTTCTTGGTAGGCCTTTATTGTTTCTAGTATTATTATTTGGTAAAGGATTTTGCGGGAAACCCTTATTTTCTTTTCCCCACATACATGCCACCCACTTTCATCCCTCTGGAATAGCTATCTTCCCCCCTCCCAAATGATCCTTTGCTTTCAGAGCCATGTGTTTTGCAGTTTCTGAATGCTAAGGAACCTGGGTATGAGGTGAGGGGTAATCTCCACCGATGTGTTTCTGAAAGCATCATCAACACCTATAATGTAGAGTTATGCAGAGATCGCCAGGAGGAGAGTTGCAAGCTGAGAGTTGGAACACTTAGTAATTCTTCTTTTTAAAAATAGGACATGTATGCCTCATACTTTTTATTTCAGTTTCTAAAAGTTTTGATGTTCTAAGTTTGAAGCAAACCTAGCCATTCCCTACCAGTCTTGTACTTGGTGATTTTCATTCCTTCTGCTAGTAACTGGAAGCCTACAATCTTTTGCAGATTTTTGATCCCAAGATAGCAGTACAACTAAGCAGTTAATTGGGTAATTAAAATAAAACAAAGGCCAAAATCCTCTTAACTGTTAAAGCCAAAAGAGGAACAGATTGACTACTACCTATTATGTTATCTTAAATCTAAAAAGAGGACAATTAACTGTTTTTCAAACTAAAATGCTCAGCTGAATGCTACCAAGGACCAGGAATTGGGTGTAAAGCACCTGTTATTATTTCAGAGAGAAATACTCATCTTCTTTCCAGAGTCTGCAAATTATGAAATAATTTACTGATCACTCCCAGTTATTTAAATTGTCAGCAATTTCCAGTAGTGTGGTCAGAGGTTCCTGGGAAGAATTGTAATGTGGGTTGATATGCAAATGAGTAGATCATGAATGTGTGAATTTGGGATAAAGTTATTTCATTCAGCTTTTAATTAGATATGTGGTACTTATAGTATTTTGTAGTTGTTTTATGTAAAACTTAACAAACAGCATACATGTGTTTATGCTATATGTACTTAAAAATAAACTGCAATCATTTTGAATACTGGATATATGCTAAATTTGCTGTTTTTGTAAAACACAATCTCACAGTACAATGATTATCACAGAACAGGCTTGCATATTCTCTCTCTCTCTCTCCTCCCTTTCCCTCTCCCTCTCTCTCTCTTCCTCTCTCTCTCCTCTTAAATGTCCTACTTTCCCTTACTTTTCTAGCAGAGCAATAGCTGTGCATTTAGAATAAATGTTACTGGCTGCAGCTTTCCTCGTATGAGTCATGCAAGGTAACTATATTTTGAACAGTCATTAAACAGGGAATACTAAGCCCAGGTACTTATTGTGCCTGGAGGAAGCCTGGTATGTTTCTTTGAATCAGTATGAGAGTTTAGATTGACCAGTGTATATAACAGACCAGTTTAGGAAATAATCTAGGTCACTGCTTTTGAAGCAAAGAGTGATAAGAAAACTGGCAACACCACAACACAAAACAAAATCCCCAATAAAGATAAATACTAAGGTCAAGGAATTGCTATCTTTTCTGACAGATAATATAAAACAAGCCAAGAACTCTCAAATGTGTTCACCCAGTAAACCACAAACAGTACTTCTAAACCTCCCGACTATACTAGGACTCTAAGATGCACAGATTTAAAGATAAATCTCAACCCAAAGAGACTTTTATTGAGTTTCTGTGTCAAGAAAGGTATATGATGTGTATGTCCTAGGCCTAGTTCTGCATAGCACTCTGAGAATAGCTACAAGCTGTGGCTCTGACAATCTCCATTTCTGAACTCAGTCTCTTCTGCCATGTAACTTTGTGGGGTGGGGTGGGTCCCCTAGGCACATTCTGGCCTTGGGTGCTTTTCTGATTTGGTTTTGCCTTTCCTTAAGCTGTTTCAGTATATCAAACCAGGTTTGCCACTGTTTTTAATTTAAATCTACTTCTTTTCCTTTCTCTTCCTTTCCCTTTCTTCCCTTCCTTCCCCTCCCTCCCTTCTTTCTCTCTTTCTTTCCTTCCCTCCTTCCTTCTTTCCTTCCTTCCTTCCATCCTTCCTTCCTTCCTTTCTTGCTTTCTTTCTTGTTGGTGTTGTTATTTTTAAGCTACTTGCTTAATGTCTAGGACAGACAGAGTGTTTTGAAGTTAGGAAATAGGGAGCAAGGGAAGAAAACAAAGAGTCAGCACTTTTTATTCCTTCTTTGGAGCCTGCCGTTTCATCCTGGCTTTCTATAGAACTGGGTGAACCACAATTAGGCCACAATGTCTGCATTTCTAAACCCTATAGTAAATGAAGGCACTGAATTCAGGCAGCAAGGCTGGAACACCAAACAGGTGTAAGGTTCTTCCTCTAACACACTTGGCTTTGGAGTGGGATCCCATGTAAGGTGAGATGGCCTTGGACTCCATCCAGAAAGCTTCAGTTACTAAGGTAGCAAAGTAAGTTCTGCTTTGTCAACCGAAAGATGGCATTTGTACTGACTGACTTGTTCGTTTCTTGAAGTCTATATTCAAGTTAACAACTGTAAAATTCAATGCATAATAATCTAAATATAGTTTTAACAATGAAGGTGACTTAAGCTGTACTTATATCAGCTTGTTCTCATCTTCTCCATGGGGGAATTTGTTCAAATAATGCATTACTCCATGAAGGGACTAACGCTAATTCTGTGTCTTACTTCTGTTCTGTTCTGTAAACTTCTTTATGTTCAAACCCAGCCTTCCATGTTTTAGCAACACAAACATTGGAGAGTTTTGCGAAGTGTTTTTATACATAAGTTAACTAGAACAACTAATGTTTTCACTT